GACATAATTAGAACTTTGGGGTCTAAGATTTTTGAAATTCGGGTCATATTAGGTACTTCAGGTCCTTAAATATAAATTATTGAAATTAAAACAAGTAACTGAATATAACAAGAAAAATAAAATAATAATTAAAATACTGGAATAAAATAAACTGTTGGAACTTCTAGTTCTAGTTAAAGAAAAATCAAAGAACTTCAAGTCTTGATTTGCTTTATGAGAATTGCAGAACTCCAAATTCTTATATAGATATGATATGGATTGCAAACTAAGAGATTTTGAGTCTTTATTTAATTATATAAGAATAATTTAGGGACTTTGGGTCATTGCATAAAATAAAAATGAAACCAAAGAAAAGAATTAAGTAAAATAAAATACAACAAAATTTAAAATATTGCAATAAAATAAATTGTTGAAACTTCTGGTTCCAATGAAAAATGAATCAAAGAGCTTCAGATTTTCATTTGCCTTTTAAGCATTGGGGAATTTCAAGTCCACATATATTTATATTATAAGGATTAAAATCTAAGGATCTTCTAGCCCTTACATAATTGAATAAGAACTGAGGAACTTCTAGTCCTCCATTAGTTGTATAAGAATAGAGATTCTTGAGTCTCTCACTTTGCTCTTTAACGAAAATCTTTGATTTCTACAAATAACAAAATACATTTGAAATCTTGTAAGTAGATAGATAAGATAGATATCTATAATGAAAATGCAAATGTGTCATAACTCATGCACTACCTATGTAAATGAGAAACATAATAAAATAATTCTTATATGTTTGGAATCTTGTCATTCAACTTCTTTTTGTTGATGCACTTCTTTCCATTTGATAAGCCTATGTAACAAGAGCTTTCATACTTGAGACGAAACTGTGCTATCTCAAGTTGTTAGAGACTTGTGCTGATAATGTGTTATATAACTTAAGGGAGTTTGTAGAGAGAAATGAGGAGTTAAAGGAAGACAATAGAAATTACTCTCTCTCTCTCTCCTTGCAACTGCGTTGACTTTTTGGTCAACCATGTTTTGCGGACCACAAAAGCTAGTCGGTAACCGGCGGTATTCTGTGTTTGCAGTACAACCGCACAGCTCTAAATATTTGTGTAACCCTCTCTCCCAATCACTTGTACTAAGATTTTAAATAATAATAATAATAATAATAATAATTATTAAAAATTAAAAATTAAAAAAAAAAACCATTTTTCCCTATACCTAAACTAAAATTCAAACTTTTTAAAATAGTAATGAAGGCCGACACAATTACAGGAATTTAAGCATTAATAGTATTTGTTGAAAAAACTAGCTAGTTCAAGCTGGTTGCCATGATATCCATCTTTCTTTTGTGATCCACAGAATACCTAGATCATGAAGATTCTCCGATGTTCTACTTTTTTTTCTCTATCAACTGCAACCCTTACGAATTATATTGAGATACGAAACATGTTTTTTTTTTTCTTTTCTTAAATCATTTTTAAAACCCACATGAAACCAAGAAGTTACAAACCCAAATTGCCCAAAACTTAATAATTAATATTTCTAGACTTCATTTAAGCTTAATTTCCTTCGTACATGATTGAGATTTCCTGAAAAACCTCATACTTAAATTTCACTCGTAACCAATCAAACTAAAAAAAGTAAATTATAAAAAAAAAAAAATCATATCATAAATATACCATCGTTTTTGCTCCGCTTCTTTGTTGTCCAAACCTTTCACATCGTTTTTGCTATCCTAATTCTACCGTAATCTACGCTTACCAAGCCCTTGCTCTAAGATTAGTACTCTTTCTCGACGGTTTACCAAAACCGCCACAAAAGCCGCATGCAGAGACCTTTGGCGACGGAGGTTCAATAGCCGGCGTGACCTTCCCAGTCCTGTAGCCGCGTCCCTCACCGTTGAACCTGCTTCTACTGACGGTGTTGATTGGTTTTGGTGCCCTAACTCCCTCTATAATCTCAGCCTTCTCTTGGTCTTGTCGTGCTCTTCCTCCTCCTCCTTTTAGCAGCGGTGCTACTTTGTCTACAAGCTCTCCTGATAAGTGCTTGTCATCCCACACAAACCCCGAAGAGCCTTGCCTCCTAAACGACACTGAAGATCTTTGCAACCCAGCCATTGCCTCTGACCTCTGTGTTTCTCGGTAGATCCTTGCAAATTTATTGAGGTCGATATTTTATAAGACTAACTTGAATAATTTTGAATCGAGGGCATAAGCAAGATGTTATGTGCCTGGCTTTTCTCAAGTATATATATGAGGTGGAAATCCCAAACACTGGGTGCAATAGAAAAGGTCATAAAATTGCCGCTCAGTTATTTCCCGTTTCTTCTAAAAAATAATGGGCAACTCAGTCAATATTGTATGTTTTCTTCATTATTGTAATTATTAAAAAATTATTTAACTCAAAACTTTCCTTTATTTTTTATTTGTTAACTCACGTATTAAAAGTTTGTCATTAACTTGTACGATAAGTTTATATATTTTTTTTAATGAATTTATAAAAATATTAGGATTATATCTTGTATAATAATATGGTCAAACAAAATTACCATATCTTTTAATTTTATATAATTAATGATAATTAAGGACGTGACGGAATTTTGTTTGTCCACAGCGGCTGACCTAGCCTGGTCATCAAGACCGCCGTGTTCAATCATTAAACAAAATTCAAATTGGTGATGATTTCCTTTTCTACTCATAATATAACTGAAAGGCGATATATATATATATATATATATATATATTTGTGATAAGTTGGATATTGAATCATGACTAAGAGCATATGGATGAGCTTGGCTTACTATTCTCTATCACCACTGCCTGCCAAAAGTGATTGCAGTTTTATTTCATCTTTCCTTGTTTTCCTTCTTTCTTACTTGTTTTTTCTGTTGTAAAAAAAAGAATTCTAATTCTTGTGTCTGACCCAACGTGTCAGGCTGCTTAGGAGTGGATGTGCCTTGGACTACAAAATAGAGATATGTGCCTTGGACTATGAAAGTGGCATATATATACCTATCCCAATACTTAAAATCAAGGGTTAATTGTCCCCGCATTCTCAATTTTAATGATTACATACCTTAAACTTTTCAATTTTTTGCAATTTGGTTCCGACGTTAATTCTGACATCAAAATTTCCGTTATTGCTTGCCTGACATGCATGGGTCTCACCTATTCACTTATTTCGATGTTAGTTGAAGAATATTTTCGGGTAATTGGTGTCTTCCCGCCCATGAAGAACACATTACACACATTAATACCAAACCATTTTTTAAAACAAAATACCCTTCAATTGACATTGAAATAAGTGAATAGGTACTCAGGCTTGTCACGCAAACAATTAACAAAATTTTCGATGATGAAGTTAATGACGGAACCAAATTGCACAAAATTGAAAAGCTTAGGGTATGCAATCATTAAAATTGAGAATATAGGAGCAAACGTGCCTTAAAAGTAAGAGTTCATGATACTAAATTGAAATTAACCATAAGAACAAGGGAGTTTCACTAAAACACCCAAAATGGAGGTTGAAATTATAAAAAAACCCAACATCCAAAACACTTTATAAACACACCCAAAATCCATCATTACACACACTTAAAACTCATTTATAAACACACCCAAAAAGTTGACTTTGAGGTTGATTTTGGGTGTGTTTCTATGTTTAAATAGTGCTTGGTTTTTTTTATTTTTATAAATACATGTCTATGATTGAGTTTATTTATAAATTTGTATAAGAAGAATGCAGAAATTTGTGACAGTTCGTGATCGATGGCTGCATCCAGCACATCAGTTTGTTAAAGAAGACCCCGTCCAAAATGCTAACACTTTGCACATTTTCTTCTATGGAAAGAAAAAAAAAATCAATGCAAAGAAATCAGTTTTAGAGAATTTATTTCAACCAAAAATATGTTTTTAATTAAATTCTTAAAGAAACAATTTTGCACAAGCTAGTCTTATGAGAAGAACTTTTATGTAACGAGAATATCACTGAAGCGGTATATTAAGCCAATTATGCATTGCTATGTGGGAAAGTATAAACACTTACTAGTTCATGATTGACTTGAGATACCTCTCAAATTTAGGGCATAACGAAATTAAATGTGCCTTTAAGAGCACCTCCACCCTAAAGAGCAAGGGCAAGGCAAGGTTTGTCACTATTCATGTCAATAGTGACAACTTTTGTCTTTTTTGTTTCCACCCCAAAGGGCAAGGGCAATGTTAATTACTACTCACATGAGATATGAGAAGATGAATTTGTATAGAGTTTTTGGTGTGGGAAGTAAAGAATATGGTTATGTATTTATAAAAATATATATGTGGAATTTTTGGTTTTAATTTTTTTTTTTTGGGTTCATTGTGTCATTTTGCCCAAGCAACAACTCGGGCTGAATTTGCCCATGGGCATGCCTGGGCTCGTGGGACCCAACTCTTGCCCAAGCTAGACCTTACGCGTTGAAAGGGGTTTTGGGGTATGAGATTGCCTTTTGCTCGGACTGGACCTAAGCGCTGGAGGTGCTCTAATGAATGCTTAGATGGTACAAACTACAAATTAACGTGATAAACCAAGAATCTCACTAGTTGGTGTAGCCTCATGTAACTCGCGTGCAGAGGCGTCATAAGACTTGTGAAGTGCATGGTAATAGCCAGCCACGGATATGACAAAAAAGGCCTTCGCAAAGTTCATGATTTATGGCAACAAAAGAAAGTCCAAGACAAACGATAAAGGATTTAAAGATCTTTTTAATAGCTAATGCAAATCCAACTAATTCAACAATTAATTCATAATGCTCAAGCACTATTTAATTACTTATTTTCCAGCCCATAAACTTTTTTGTAATATTATGAGGATTATTATTATTATTATTATTATTGAAAAAGTGAAAATTTTGCATAAATATTATCTAAACTTTTAGGTATATGCGTAAATACCATATTAATTTTAAAATTTTATTTTGAACCACATTATGGTTTTAGCGGTTACTTAAAAAATCCAAATAAAAAAGCCGCGAAAACCCAAACCCGAAATAGATAAAAGATTTTCACTTTCTCAATTTTTCTCTCCCACGCCTAATCTTACACTGATCGGCACCATCCCTCGTCCCGCTCATCCCTTCCTTCGACGACAGACACATCCAGTAAACACCAGAATGCGCTTCCAGGCTTCTAATTAGAGTAAGCATCAGTCCATAAGAAGCCCAAGGATTATAATTCATGGTCGCCAACTCTTGAAGCAGTGAGTTCCGAATCTTCTGCTTCTTTGAATTTTGTGGGTTGCAGTTGGGTTTCAGTTACTGGATGCGGATTTCTCTATTTTATTTTCTTCTAAATTTTAAATTCTTTTCGGAGATTAATCTCTCTCTCTCAAAATAGATGCTTATTGAGCAACCCACAATCTAAAAGTGGGATCTCTACTTTTCAATCTCAAAACCCATATTAAAAATTTATTCAAAACCTCTGCCTGTGGTGAGTTTTTGACCTGGGTTAATTGGGTACTTTAGGGTCTCAATTTTATGTGCCTAAGCTGTTTGATGAAATGTTTCAACGAATGCAGGTCTTTTAAGGAGCACTCATTTCGATCGCCTCATTTTTATGATGTATGGAACAAAAGCCATCCAACTGGTCAAAGAAATTGCAAATGGTGAAAAGGGGCAGCTCACGCCTTTCAGTGTACAGAGAGAACTGCCCTGTTTCTAATTTTTTATCCGAATTTCCCTAATTCTATCTGTTTTTGTCAAGTTATATGTAGTATCCTCTAATTTGATATATCTTGGCTTCATCTTGTAGAGTGATGTATTTAGTGAAGTAATTGCAGAATGTAGTCAACACTTTGCTGACCTTCGATCTTTGATAAGGTAACACAATTTTGAGTTTTTCCTATTGTAATTGGTTTTTTTTTTTTTTTTGGTTGCGTTTCCTCATTTGCATTCCACAGCAGCAAATCACATGCTCAATCTCACCTGAGATGATGAAGTCGTTCAGATTACCTGATGTTGTGGTTGTGCTGGTGCTATAACTAACTAAGGGGACTTTTCTGTTGTTTAATTGCTTTTGTAAATCATTTTCAACATTGAACATCTAATATGTCAGTTAGCAATTATTTATATTTATGCGGTCCCTGTAAGTCTTCCAGTTAACACAATATATTGCACGTTTTACTTCCATATGTCTAAATCACAGATGATGATTTCTGTAAATGATTTCCTGTAACAATGTTTTATGATTACTTCATGTAACTCAGGCTTTATTGTATGCCTAGTCAATTTAATATATTCTTTCTTTGAAATTTTTTGTTTTCCTAACTTTACAACTTACTGGAAAAAAAGATCTGTGCCAGTCAAGACATTCAGACAATGAATATGACATTTACAATTTACGACATTGCAAGTCATTTTTTCATTACACTGTTTTGTTGATTGGTGCATTAGTTTGTTGAGCCAGTCTTTAACATTTTTCAGCGTGGACTTAGGTTGTCCCAAGATTCAGAGTTGGATTACAAATCATGTTGTAATAGGGGCATTTTGGCACTTGCCTCAAGAATTCAGTTATAGTTTCATATATTTGGTTTTGAGAACTCCCGTTTCATGTATTGATTAAAACTGTGCATCTCTTTGCTTCCTGTCTACAATTCCATATGCATGATATATCTTTTGGCTTGTATACTCAATCAACTCACATATGACTTGATGTTGCAACAGAAAAATGCAGGAAGCAGGATTAGATGTCGAAACAACTAAGGATGAGGACCACTATGGGCAGCTCATTCACCACCTCTCTTTAGTTCGCAATAAACGCTGCTTGATGGCATATATGTAATGTTTTTATCTGTTGTGTTATTATATGATTACGCTTCGTTTTAGTTAGTATATTTTAAGTTCACATGGTTCTTATAACCATGCAGGTACAACCGAGCCGAAATTTTACGAAATCTGGTATGGAAGGTCGGGTCTGACATTCCAGAAGAAATTCAAGAGAAGCTTAGTCACTCAGAGAAAGAGTACTTTAAGAAACATTCAGAAGCTTTAAAATCATATATGTCGAGAGTGCTTCTCGAGTTGGCAGTGGTAATCTCTCTCTATATACTCGCAATTAAACTTCATAGTAAAATAAACACATAGGTTATCGAGTCCTTCTCTTTGATATTTAGATGTTTGTGAATTACAACTAAGATGGGTTGCTGATTCAATGGGCATGTTCATAATTGGAATGATTCAAGCTGGATGACTGTTTGTTGTTAAAAACTGGAAAGTACTGTACTTTAATTGAGTGGCACAATGGAGATGTTATTAATGAAAATGATTTGAGAAACTTGACTCTTGGTTATTAATGACAGAAGTTTCATTATCATTCTGAGTTCTTGTGTTTTCCAGGATATGGTGCCCCCAAAAGATCCCTACATCAAGGTGAGAGTACTCGATGACATGGGTGAAGTAGAATTACCAAGCGATAATACGGCCAATTTTGCTCGTCACTCCATGCATTTTCTTAAACGAACTGATGCTGAGAAATATATTTCACTGGTATGTTTCATTTACATGACAGCTTGATCCTCATCCACTTCGGTTTGTTAAAATCCTTGCTCTCTAACTACTATCCTGGACTAATAGGGCAAGATGGAGGAGCTCACAGGCTGATTTAATTGGCTCAACCTGCTAAACAGTCTTCCTCGGACTCCGTACTATTCTGTATACTATTCTGTATACTATTGTATCATGTTCAGTTTGTGGTTAAATTAATAATTGTTTTCTTAATTTATCCTTAATAATGTAGCTTTCCGACTATATTAGCATAAACATGTCGTGTGTGGCAGTTCCCTGCACAAATTATGTTAATGAAGTTGACGGTTTAAGTGCTTAGATTTTACTTATACGTCTTTGACGAATGCATATTATTGGTTAATTTGGGTCAACTTCTATGATGAGTGCAACTTTACCGTGCTTAGAGTTATTGTCTAACACTTTCAGATACAGAAACAATACATGGTAGCAGATCATTTGGTTGATTTGGGTTCAAAGTCCGAGTTAAATAATGTTAAACCAATTAGCCCTTAATTAATAACCTTTTAGTTCACTTATCTTACGGCTATATTGACTTGCTTAAACATTATAAACCAAGTGGCCTACTTCTGTCTCTGTTTTTGGCATGGTTAAATTGCTTCTGGTTGGGATATCGCATCTCACTTTGTTTGATTGTAGTTCACTTAATGCTTGAAGTATAAGCTTTTCCTCTGCATAAAACTGAGAATATTAACAAAGTAACAATGGCATAATGCCAAAAGATGAAATCGATAAACATTAGGACCTCTAATTTTGTAGATTCTAGTTGAATTCAGATTCCAAATTTACTGAGATTCAATCAGGCTTTCAGTTTGATCGAGGCCATCTTCCAAATTGAGAAAAGTGGACTGCCGATCATATAATACATTGCAAAATTGATGGAGTCCGGATTGAACTAAATACTTTGATTGACATGTAAATCTCAATGCAAGATCTTGTAATTTCCACTGAAGAAGCTGCAAAGTTATGACCTTTTGTGTCTACTACTACTGCTACCACTGCTGCTGCTGCTACCAGATTTTGAGCCCTCAGATACAAAAGCATCAACAGCTCCTAAAATTTGACCTTCAAATTTATGGCCTTTAAGGGAAGCCCTTATCTTCCTAACCACTTGCTTTTTCATCACTCTGCGCTCTGCTGTAGAAAGGTGCTTACACTTATCTATGCCCTTCAGAAATCCAAGCAAGGTTTCCCCAGTCCCCCCACTAGCCTTTTCTATTTTCACAAGCTTCTCCACCACTAGCAAAGAAAACATGAGCTCTATGCAGGATTTGTTTCCGAGCTCCACAATATCTAAGAAGCACCGCATGTTCACTTCCCGGGTCTTCATTGATTTGCTCTCCAGTGATTGAACCATCCTCTCTATGAGACCCATCTTAAGGATTCGGTTCAAAACGAGAGCACCACCACTGCCAAAAAGCATCTGGTGTAGTGCTGTGTAGGCTGCATCCTGCAACTCCGCAATGCTGCAATGCATCATCTTAACTAGGTTGGGTACAATATCATACTCTAGAAACTTTTTAATGCAGGGTTCTCCGCCCGAGCAAGCTAGCTTCGTCAATAGAAAAGCAGATTGAGAAATCATTGAATTTTGTTCATACTGTCCGGGCTGCAAGAGTTCGGAAAGCCGTTTGATTAGTGGACTATTTGTAATCATGTCTCTGAATCCTGGTTCTCCTGCGTTCTCCACAACTGGTATGAGATCTTGCATTGCCTCCAATACCATCTCGTTATCGCTGTCTAGTACCTTATGAATGACATCTTCAAAAGTTTGCGACTTCGGTAGAAGGGGCACATTTTGATCTTTCAAAGCAAATCTTTCCAAATAATGTCTAGCTTGCCATGGCAAAACGTTTAGATTTGTGGGTTCAAGAGACCTTAACACATGAGGGCCTCCCAACTCATAAAATGCCTTCAATGCAACTATGGCATGATGTTGAGCTACTTCGGATCCATTCGCAAGGAGCAAAAGAAGATTCTTATCAATCTCAAAAGCAAGCATTCTCTCGACGGCTTTCGATTTCCCAGATTTGGTTAACGACATCAATATGGTAAACATGCTCTCATGCCATTCCTCGGCAGTTGGAGAGAGCAAATTGGCCAAACGATTGAATGGAATGCTCCAGAGCACCTTCTCGACTGTGTTTGGGCTTCCGAATTCTGCAAGCTTTGCGAGGACAATTGAAATATCTGTTTGGATCAAAGGGTCCTCACAAGTTTCTAAGATTATTGCCAACTTGCTGACTGCACCAGTAGCTTCAAGGGATGGAAAATAATTGCAATAATCAGTCTTGCTAAATACAGTGGTGATGGCTTTTGCAGATACAGCAATCAGACTCTGTGATTCTGTAGAGATCAGGTCTGCAGTCCTAGGACCCAATAAGCTACCAAAGCTTGCTCTACTTTCTTCGAGTTCAGAAATGGATTTGCTGGCCATTAGAGCCTGGATAGAGGCCTTTAATGTGATAATCACCTGCTTTTCCTCAAAAGCATTGAGGAAATGCACTATTTTCTTTTCAGCAAAACTTTTTACTCGCTCTTTCCCAAATATAAGAAGCCAAGGGCAGATGAATGCAGTTTCTTCAGGTGTGGATTCATTCAGTAGTATCTCCACCGAATCGTTTGTCTTGCTACCAAGGTACAGAGCAACCATGTCATGTACCAAGTATAAGGGATCTGTATCGATTTTCATAAGCAAAGAGCCTTCAACAAGCTTGCATACTATGAGAGGGAACAAGGTATCCTGCCCAAGAACTGACCAGACAGCCTCAACACAAGCTTCTGGTACAGGTTCTACCCATGAAAGAGCCGATAGAGCAATGAAGAGCTTTCGAGAGTCTCCAGGCATTGCATCTAGACTGAACTCAAAGGACCCAAAAATGGTTACTGCATTCTCAGCTTCTTTTTCGTTCACATATGATACAGGACCGGGTGCACATGTAGCGTAGGTGGATAAGTTGGTGATGGCCTGTGCCCATTTATCAGCTCTCATTTCTTTTCTGAGAGCCTTACCCATAACAGCAACTGTCAGAGGGTGGTGGCCACAATGCTCTAGTAAGCTTTCCGCTACATGCTACATATAGAATAAGAAAATTCCAACAAATAAGTGAAGAAAAACTGGAAAATTGATGGAAGAGCACATAAAGAAAGTGGATGCATCTGAGGCTTAATCAATGTTATTCAACTACATCTCCACCTTTTACAAATACGACTGCAGGCTTGACTATAAGATCATGTAAAATCTCTATAGGAACCACACAGAAAACATATATGCATCAACAATGTAATGGCTGAAAAATTGTGACAATGCAATTTAGTAATTTGCAGAAATAGAATTGTAGCGTAATGTGGTTCATACCGGTAACTCTTCTTTGCCTAGGAGGCTATGGTAGAGAAGAACTTCCATGCTTATCTCCTTTATGTCGTCTTTGCTTAGTTCCACCTTTTCAGCTTCTGTTATTTCATAGACAGCTTCATTTCTTGTTGTGACAAGGTACTTGCAATCATTATCATATAACTTTGCAAATCTCTCAATTATATCCTGCTCCCATACATCATCGAGAAGAATAAGAATGCTCTTCCCATACAAGGCTTGTTGAAGCAAACAACCAATATATTCAAGGTCTCCAGAACATTCATCCTTAATCTTCTTCCAAAATCCGATCTGCACCAGAAATTTACACAGCTTTCTTGCCAAGCGCCTCTGGTATTCACCTATACTTCTGTTGCAAGCAGCTCTACTGCACCATTGGCCAAAAGCAAGTTCAACTGCACCATCCATGAATTTCTCTGGAGGATCAGAAGCTACTTGACGAGCCAAAAAAGACTTCCCAATACCAGATAGCCCAACAATTAGAATGACTCGATGAGAACCATCTTGTTCCAGTAAATCCCTCACAAAATAACATTTACTCGAAACTGGGTAGCCTTGTTCAGTCTTGATTTTCAGTTGAACTGAGGTGTCTTGTGCAGTTGATTCTATTGCTTTCTCAACATGGTGAACCATTGTTTGAGAATCAAGCCACCAATTCAAGTCATCCCTTATTGAGTTCACTAGTCTTTCAAGTGGATCTCCAGCCATAGAAGTCCAAACTACCTTAGCTATGTTCTTAACCTTATTTTTTGACACCATTCTCCTGGCCTTGCTGATATTTGGACGTAGGCGTTCTATCAGGGAATTCAAGCTTTGGATTTGGTAATCTAATTGAGGATTATGAAGCTTGTTGACATGTTTTTGCTTAATTCGGCGACTCAAGTTTTCAAGATCACAGACAAATTCCTCTAAGCTCCGAATTCTCTTTGGAGCTTCATCGAAATTTCTAGATGCTTGTTCTAATGCAGATATAGCACTTACCATGCTTGAAACTATCTGTGTTGCAGAAGCAATAACTTGCAGAGCATCCATTGCTACTCAAAACCGTATGCTACCAAATTCTACATGTATTTTGTCAACTAAATACACATTCCCACAGAAGGATTCCCAGTGATCAATGAGATGTTAGAGGTTCCTTAACCTTATTTCTGATAATTGGGAACACATTCTCACCGAACTTTACTGACTTTTCCAACCGTCTATCTAGAGACTCTGTGAGGCAATTGATTCAAGGAGCACACTCAATCAGCAAACAATTGAGACGAAATATCCTTCACAGATTAAATCAAGATTCATTTGGGGAAAAGAAATGTCTTTAACTGATGCGTGCCAAACTGATCCATCAAATTTAACCAAATTGCAATCAGACAACATAATAGATAAACCTGGGACTTCCAATCCACATCTTTTTGCACCAACTCCCATTAATTCCAGAGCATAAGCAATAAGAATAAAGAAAGCAACCAAAATCCATGAAAGAATAAAAACCCAGTTTTCATTTGAAGGAAATGAATGAACTTTCAATCCCCCAAACCATCCAAAACTATCAATTCCAGTTCATTAAGCTCTTAGAGTCAAAACCCAGTTTCCAAACCAGCAAAATGAACAAGCAAGCACTTTGAACATTCAAGAATTTTTTTAACAATAAAGCATGCACTAAATTAAGTAAAACTTGAGAAAGACAATACTATTACCTTTTGAAGGCTTTAAATTGAAGAATGAAGATGTTAATGGTAACAATAATACCAAAATAGTGAATGGTGAATTAGCTCGAGATCCATTTAACATATCCAACTCTGTTCGTCAAAGAGCACAAATTTAAAAATAAAAATAAGTGTCAAGGAAGATGATGCACGAAGGAGACTCCTGCGCCAGATTCCAGGAAGTAAACTTCAACACTTTTACAGCTCAGAAGTCAACTCAACTG